GCAAACAAGGATATTACCAAAGATTCAAGAGATACTGTGTAAGGATAATGGAAACAAAAGATTACATATAAAGCAAAATCATAACATGCTTTCTAGAGCCTAAACTTAACTATTAGGTTAATCTCCTGTCCAATGAAATTTATCTCACTCAAAGCCTTGTGCGCTGTCCTCCACCAAGGCTAGTTGTGATGCAGTTTTCATGAAAGTAAATCCATTGCCTGTTTACTTCCGAGGTGCAGAATGACAGGGTATCATCTTTGTTTGAAGGCCAGAAGAAGGGGTTCAAGAAAGATTTATTTGAGGATGTGGTCCCCATTGAGTATGGATTGTAATTGTTTGATGATACCTTGTATGGATTCCATTTTCGGGTAGTAGGTGACAACTAGGGATGGGCGGTCTTGGGAGGTTTTTTAGATACAGTTGCTGCATACAGTCATAACTAGGCAGTGTGAGAAAAATCTATTGACTTGGAAAATAAATGTCACTAAGGAGAAGGCTATTTTTACAGGCAAATTTTTGTTAATTTTTTTTACTTGCAAATATGCTCCCTGCAAAAATGTGAATGCAATTATATATCTATATACCCTGATCTTATAAACTTCATGGCAGTGGAACCAAAAACCAGGATGGGTCCCTAGTTCTTTTCTAGGAGGGCTTCTCACCCACCCTCCTGCCACACATCTCCAGTCCTTTCTCAGCCTGTTTACAGTTCCCTGGTGTTAATAGGGTGTTTAGCAGTGTCCTTCAAGGCTGGCAGTCTGCCCAGGAGACAGTATTAGCCTGATTAATTTAATTCCTATTTGCTAATGCCCACCCCTACTTCCTGAGCCTCAACTTTACTTTCAGAAAAGATCTGCAAAAAATTAAAATGGCACCAGCACAGCCATTGCAGTGGGGAGGGATTGAGTCACAAAGGAAAAGACTGGGTCATTGATGGTTGACAAACCAGACCTTCTCCCTTGCTGTTTGTGCAGGAATTTCAGTCGTGTCTAGCGTTCAAGAGCAATCCCTTTACCACATGCAATTCACCTTGTTTTGGCCAGTGACACCAAGTCTGTGTCCTGTGAGATTTCCTTCTGATGGGGATAAAGCAGTAGGAATCTCACTCCTTTTTAAGTCAGAGGCAAGGGCTTAAGGCAACACAGTATAATTTATTTCCTCCCATAACCATCTAAACCCCTGCATGAAAATTCTGCTTGGTTCATCTTCTGTGGCTTGAAGGGGAAGCATGGGAGAGTTGGGGGAGTGGGGCGGGAAATGGTGTTGATGTGGGAGAGCTGATTTTTGTGGCCCCGTCATGTTGGGACCTTGCAGGGTTTTCCCCCAGAAAATTATTGCTGGTCAACATTAACTCTCACTCCACACCTTCAGACTTTCCACAGGGGAGGTTGGGGCTAAGCATAAAAAGGGAAACCAAGACAGAACAGTTCCCAAGGCAGCCATCAGACTAAACCATAGAAGGTCTAAGACTCTGCACTGATGCCCGCCCCATCACTCTAAAAATTTCCTTAGATCTGTGCGATTTCCCTGCAGATGTCATGACCTCTGTGGTTTAATATAGCCACAGTTCCACAGATAACCAATCTCTACACACCCCTCCCGCCCCATTACATGATGTAGTGGAAACACTATTGCCAATTTTTCTATCTAACTTGGGCCCTTTGGCCTATAGGCTCATCCCTGAGCGGCCTGAGCTGCTGTGTTACTGGAGCTTGATTTTCATTAACTATGGTTATAAATCTTCAACAAGCTACTTAAGGTCATGGCTGATTTTACAATCCATTATAATCAAGGTGTGAAAGTATGGATTAGCATGAGCAGTGACATTTACATGGATAAAAAGAAAACATTTTCGGCCCACAGATTTTGAATTACAGTGAATTCTCTCTTGTTTAATAATGTCAAACTTAACAAAACTATGATTTTTTCTTTTTTTTTCCCTTTTAGATTGCCAAAGATAAGCCTGGAACCTATAAACCTTGGGCGATCGACATTGCCTAATACTGTGTTTTCCAAAGTATGAAATAATTATGTGACTGTTTCCATCACTGTTGGAATTAAAGCATTCCAAATGTAGAAATAAAATATTTGATTTAAAACCCACCGTCACACACACATTTGTGGACCAAGATATTATTAATTGCAGCTCCTCTGTATTGACAGAAAGGAGATCTTTAATTTTGGAGAAACTTGAGGACCAAATTCTGTTCTCTGTTACATCATTGTAAATCTGGAGTAACCCCATGGTCTTCAAGGTAATTGCACACTGGAGTAAGAGAAAGCAGAATTTACCCCCAAATCGCAAGCTATGCTTCTTTGTCACTTGCATCATCCACTTTATGACCCACTTACACCCATTTGTTGTCATTATTATTAATTGAGTCTATTGCTGTAGCACCGGGGTGGGCAAACCTTTTGGCCCAAGGGCCACATCGGGGTGCAAAACTGTATGGAGGGCCAGGTAGCGAAGGCTGTGCCTCACCAAACAGCCTGGCCCCTGCCCCCTATCCAACCCCTCCCACTTCCCCCCCTCTGACTGCCCCCCTCAGAACCCCCCACCCATCCAACCCCCCCAGCTCCTTGTCCCCTGACTTCCCCCTCCCAGGACCCCTGCCCCTAATCACCCCCCGGAACCCTCCCCTGAGAACCTCTGCCCTATCCAACCGCCCCCTGTTCCCCGTCCCCTGACCGCCCCCTCCTGAAACTCCACCCCCTGCTCCCTCTCCCTTGACTGTCCCCTGGGACTCCCTGCCCCTTATCCAACCCTCCGGCCCAGGCCCCCTTTCCATGCCACTCAGAGCAGCATGTCTGACAGCCGTGCCACCTGGCCAGAGCTAGACATGCTGCTGCTCTGCCTGGCAGGAGCACACAGCCCCACTGCCCATCAGAGCACTGACCGCGTGGCGGCATGATTGCAGGGGAGGGGGAACAGTAGGGGAGGGGCCAGGGGTAGCCTCCCCAGCCGGGAGCTCAGGGGCCAGGCAGGACAGTCCCGCGGGCTGGATGTGGCCCGCAGGCTGTAGTTTGCCCATCTCTGCCATAGCTGTATAAATAAACAGCTGAACTACCTAGCCTGTGTTCTGGTTCTGAATTATGTTATGAACTTGTAACTACAAGGAAAGTCTAGTTGTGAGTTTTGAAGGACTGACACCTACCCGAGCCTGAGCTTGGAGTTGGGGATTACCTCTGGTAAGCTTTCTAGCTATGTGGGTAGGTTCTTTGATTGTTTTTAAAATGTTATCTCTGTAATGCTTTCATGTTAAGAATAAATGTGCTTGCTTAGAAAGGACTGTGTGGTACCTTAAAACTGCAGGCAACACACTGGAGAGAAAACAAACTGCAGACACTAGCCTTTTCAATAGTCTGTTTTGCTGGGAATACCAAATTGTAGGCAGGGATCTGTGCAGCCTTAAGAATCCCTGGTCAGGAGGGAGTGAGATGTCGTTCTCTGCCAAAGAGAGATGACAGTTGGGACCACAGAATGCGAATACAGGTGCAGTTACCCTGAAACTGTGACAGGAACCATAAGGAGGAACAGCAGAAGGCAAATGTGTTCCTGAGAGCTTATCTGCAACCAAACAAATGCTATTATTTATTATTCTTAATACTGTAACCATGATAAAATATCAAATACACCCTAGTTATTCACCCCTCTGGGCTTCATAGGGCAGTCTGTCTATACCACGTCTGTCCTGTTTATATTGTAAGTCCTTTTTTTTATTTTGTACAGCACTAAGCATAGTGTTGGTACCTCAGAAATACATAATGCCATCATATGTAAAATATGTTTTACATTTTTTGGGGGAAAAAAATCCCTTCTACCTCTGTATCTTTTTAAACCCTGGGGAAAATTGAGAGCATCCACAAACTGAATAGTTTATATCGCAACAAAAGAAATAAAAAGTCTCATTTTGCCATCTTTATCTGGAGGCAGAATACACATCAGACCTCAGTGTTCAAACAACGAATGTGTTTATTGCCCAGTGCAACAAGGGTGGGAATGAAGTTGCTCTTTAGAAGCCTAATGAAGGCTGAACGGATTAGGACAGCCACGTTCTCTCTCTAGCAGTGGTTCACAATTTCAGGGGGAGAATTCAGATTTTTGTCACCGGTATCATCCATCTCCACCAGGCTGGCGCTCGCAGGGTCCATCCCGGAGGCCTGACGCTCTGTAGGCGGGTTTGCGGGGGGAGGGGAACGGGGAGGGTTCGGCCCAGCTAAAATGGCCGCGCTTCCAGCGCACGCGGCTCAAGCTCCTGGGCTGCTGCGCGCCGCGTGCCCAGCAGGGGGCGCTGCCTCGCCCTCCCCCGCCACTCAAAGAGTATGAGTGACGTCCCGGGAACGCAAACCGTCAACGGCCCCTTTCCGGGCAGCTGCGATGCCCCCCGCCCCTCTCAATGGAGTGATCCACTTGCCTAGAGAGGGGCGGTGAAACGGTCGCCGGCCATTGACGGTAAAGCAGGAGGGAGGGGATCTGGACGCGCTCACTGACTGGGAGAGGGGAGCTAGATCCGCCTATTCCCGGCGACGGAAGGGAAGGTGCCTGTCACCTCAGGGCTGTGCGTGGCTGGGACTCCGTGGCGCCCCTCACTGTAAGTGTACGTGGGGGAGGGGCTGTGTACTGGGGGGTGGGCCGTGTCACGAAATGAGTGAGGTAGGTTCGTTCTCCCCTCCGGGGTGGGATGGTCTCTCCCAGCGAGTCTGTCAAGGCGAGGCGGGCCCCTCCCTTTCCTCCCTCCCCTTCGCCGCGTTGGTTCCGCCCGCAGCAGGATTTAGCCGCCGCCTGCCGTCGTCTCCGCCTGTGCAGCTTGCAGCGAGGGGTTCCTGGACGTTTTCTCTTTGCCTTAAAGTCGGTGAGGCGCGGGCCGGGCCTCCCCCGGGCACTGGGCTGGGAGGAGTGGGGGCTGGGCCGCAGCGGGGCTCCCCGGGCACTGGGACGGGATGGGCCATGGCGGCGGTAGGCCGGGCTGTTCCCCCCCCACCCCCGCGGCGGCCTGGCCCTGCCGGGTAACAAAGCCCCGGCCTGTGACGGGGAGGCAGCGGCGGTGAGCGCGGCCCGGCTGGAGGAGACCCCCCCTTCCCTCCCCCGAGTTCTACCGGCTCCAGAGCGCCTGCAGCGGCCGCCTCCGCCCAGGGAGGCCCGGTGGGTGCTGAGCGGCCGCGGCCGAGAGGGAGGCGGGTGGGGGCTGGGAGCTCCCCAATCCCCGCTCGGGCGGTGCGGCGTGGAGGCCCGCTCCTCCCCCGGGAGCGGCCACGGGATGCTGGGCCGCCAGCTTCGCGGGGGAGCCGGGGCGGGGAGCGAGGACGGGCCTCGGCAGGTTAGTCCCGCGCCGCACGCCTCATGGTCTGATGCGTGTTGTCCCGCCCGTCGATGGGGGAAGGGGTCTGGGTCCGCCGGGCTGTGACCCTGCTGTGCGGGATCGTCTCGTGTCGGCCCGGCCCGCGCGGCGCTGCCTGATCTGAGCTCGGGTGTCATTAATAACGCCTCACCTCTGTATAGCGCTTTTCCTTGCCTGTCACTGTGCTTTGCAACGGAGATCGAGATTATCCATATCTTACCAATAGGGAAACTGAGGTACAGAGAGAGTGATTTGCCCAAGGTCACCTCAGACGCCAAGAAAGTTCACATTCACCCTGAGGTTATCCTTTTATGTCTTTTAATTAGACTAACCTGTCTTTGCCATAACAGCTAGTAAATATTGCATGGCTTTAGTGAAAATGTATTGTGCTCTGTCTCTGAGTTACTTCAGTACTGTAGATGTTCTTAGCCACCAGGCAGGCCCAAGAACTGGCAGTGCAGGATTTGCATTTCATATCCCTGACAAGCGTGTGGTTGTGGAAAAGTAGGGGAGGAATGCACTCTAAGCCTTCAGCCCTTCTCAAAAAATAATTTCTTTTTAAAGTGTGGACTCCTTTCACAAGCAGATGTGTACAGTAGCTGATACTCATGCTAAGAGTTAAATCATCTGCCTCTTAAGGATATCTTGAACTTTTCTTTTTTCACAGGGTGTCTTTTATGAATAATCAAAAGCAGCAGAAGCCAACGCTATCAGGCCAGCGTTTTAAAACTAGAAAAAGAGGTAAATATTAACCATTTTTGTGTGTTGCTCATGGTCGACTCTGTACAGAAGACCTATCAGCATGTGCTGCGCAAGAGAATGAATGCGCACAAGCTTATTAGTACATTGCGTATAGCCCAGAGGTCCCCAAACTGGGGTGCATCCCTAAGGGGCTGTGGAGGAACATCTTGGGCCAGCCCCCACAGGGGGTGGGGAAGGAGTGCCCCCTAGCTCTGCTCTGGTCCTGCATCCCCGGCACCTGTACCCAGCCCCGGTGCAACTCTGCTCTTGGCCCCATGCCAGCCCCCAGCCCAGCGGGGAGACTGGGAGTGGAGTTGCACCTGGCCACAGGCCTAGCTGCTGGCCTCCACTGCAGCCTGCCTGCAGCTCTGCTCTTGGCTCAGCCACTGGCTGTGGCCCCAGACCCACCTCCTGTGCCCTTGGTCCCCTGTCCACTTCCCATCTCTTCTTCTCCTCCCACCCCCCAGCAGTGGCCCTGCTCCCAGTGGGGTGGGTGGGTGGAGAGTGTAGGGGGTGTGACTCTCAAAAGTGTGGGGACCACTGGTCTAACCTTTCAAGAACTTGTTTAGGTAGGTATCTGTAAATAAAGATCTATAAACTTAAACATGAAATGCATTTTTTACCATAATTATACTTTGTGTAGGCTAATTCATTTTAAATGTGCCTTGCACCATAAAAAACATCTTAAATTCTGATTATGCTCCTTTCCAAACAATAACTAATGTAGAACACCTTCAACCAGTGTGAAAGTTTGCTGTCATTAGATTTATGGGAAAACTCAGGCTTCTTCAAGGGGTGTGGGTGGGAGCTGATGGGCTCTTCTAGGGTCTAATTTCAGTCTGTGAAGGCAACTTTACTTCCTCTTTCTGTAACTAGATTAGTTAATGAGAACAAATATTCTAGCTGTTGAGGAAACAATAAAAGTGGAGATATAGGTAAAAGGCTAGAGTGGAATGGTGGAGTCATTGGTAATTGGAGAGTGGTGTGGCTAATAAATAGCTGGAAGAAAACTGCCATTCTCTTTTTAAGAGGGAAATGGATGCTGTTATAAATTAGGGTCTTGGCTTGCTGTAATCTAGACATTTCTTGAAGGTGGGGAGGGTTCTTACCTTCTCTAGAAGGCTGGCTAGCTCATATTTTTCAGTTCTCTAATTTCTCATTCTAACTGTAGTGACTATGAAAGCATATGATTAGCTTTGATTGGTGTATGAATTTACCTGATTTGTCTCAAGTAGAAGGAAATAAGGAATTAAATAGTCTGTAATAATAAGAGGTTCATCAAAGTAAAACACTGAAGATAGGATTCATGCTTATCTCAAAGTACAGAAAATCTGTTTCTCTGGTTCAGTGTTTCCTCCAATGGCACATCTGATTTTGAAGTGGAAGAGTAGGGTTTAGTTTGGTTTTGCATATGAAACATTTCGAATTTAATTGTCTTCAAAATATTGCTTCAATCTAAGTCTGTATTCCCTTTCAGTGACTTTGCTACCTCTGTTAGTCTTGTAAAGATGGCTGTTCAAAAAAGATTGCCCCCATTTCTCAGGATGTCTTTACTGTGGAGACTATAATTGCATAGCTATGTTGGTGTAGCTGTGTTGGCACAATCCCATAGCATGGGTGCAGGGAACACCACCTCCCCAAAGTTTCCTACCTTGATGGAAGCACTGTTCAGTTGTCATAGTTTCATCTTCTGAACACATACTTAAGTTGGCATAGCTATGTCAGTCAGGTGTGAAATGACTCAACAGCTGGCAAAACAATGGAAGGAAGCATTTGGGGGGGACTTGATCGACTTAAGGTTTCCACCACTGTCTCAGTAGGAATCTCCTACCTAGTTGACAAATGACAACTCCTTCAAGGACAGCCCTGAAAGAATGATTGAGGGAAGCTGTAGAACCTTCCCTTTCTGTTGCTTAGGCTTTTTCTTCACTACCAAAAAAAGTGAGGTGTTATGTTAAGAGCAGTCTATTTTGGAAGTGAAGACTGGCCATAGCAAGCATGACTGATCCCAAATACAAAATTTACAGGTTCTGTCCAGAAGAGAGAGGCTGAAACATGGCTAATGGAATGTGATTCTGAATCAGTTTTTTTTTTAGCATTTCCTATTCAAGACTCAGGTTTTTGTCCTAAATCTGTCTGCTCACTAAGTTCTGACACAATTCATTGTTTTCACACTCTTCCATGGCTTTGAAGCAAACCTCAGAGCAGGACAGTTGCATTCAGAATCTCTTCTGGTTAAGAACTAGATTTCAGTCCTTTCATCTGAGCACCGTGCAAATAGTTTTCAACTGGTTTAGCTGAAACTTGATAACAGGCAAAATGCTGAAATGCAAACGCTTTTTGATGCTTCTATTACAACAGTGGTAGGCCTAACTAGTTAGTGACTAGTTCAGAAAGCATTAATATTGGTTTAAGTAATGGTAAATATTGGTTAGCCTCATTAGTGACTTGCACTTCTAATTTAAATGAGAAATGCCCAGACTCGTGTTAGATGATGTCTGGATTTGAAGTCCTAGCATCACCAGCAGGGAGGGGGACTGCAGCCTAGCTTTGCCTAGGTTAGGTTGCTTGGAGACGTGCTGAGACCTCCCTTCACAGCAGGAACTCAGGCAGGGGCTCCCCCATGACCTGCTGCCCATATGGGAGGTACCTGGCCACAGGGCCACCTACTTGGCTGTCTCTGGCATGGCCTGGGAGGTGGTGGCTGCTGGGTCTTAGTTCAAGCTAGCCAAGGAGGGGCTTGGGCCTCTGAACGCCTTGGGGCGAGGAGATTGCAGTGGCATTTTTATATAGTAATTAATAACAAAAATCTGAGCTGTTATGGTAAGGCTGTGCCTGTTACCACTTATGTCTGCAAAACATACGTCATTTGGCGGTGTGAGAACACCCCTCCCCATGAGCGACATAAATTTCGCCAGCATAAGTGGTGGTGTGCACAGCACAAGCAAAGCTTGTCCTGCCGACATAGCTATTGCTGCTCATTGGGGTAGTTTAATTATGTCGCTGGGAGAAAGTTCTCCAGTGCTTACAGCGGCACAGCTGCATCAGTACAGCTGTGCCACTGCAAGGTCTCAAGTGTAGCCATAGTCTTGGTAATCTGAGACTTTTTACTAAATTTAGTGTGACTGCTCCATCACTCTTGATTTTTTTTGATATATTTTTAAGATAAATCTTCAGCCCTAGCATAATCTGGCTCTCACTCTCTTGATGCAGAGACAGTAAAATGGGAAAAACTTGATATTGTTGCAAAACTTAGCAGGAAGAAATGACTGGGAAAACAGGCAGGGATTAGAATGCAATATGTGTAGTTTTAAGTATTGGTGCTTCTTGGCCTTAAGTGGAGAAGACATTCGGAGTCAAAATCTTGTAACTTCTAAGTGAACAGTTAATTTGTTCAAGGCTAAACATAATTGCATATTCTCATTGAAGTGATCAAAAAGATGATCAATGGTGACTATTACTGCAGCTATTGCAGTTGATAACTGACACATTCGGGTCAAATGGCTAATGCTAAACTCATATGTATTTGTATTAAACTAATGGCAAAGTAACAGTCAGCACTGCCTATTTCTGGCTTCCCTGGTAAACTCAAACACTTTGGAAACTTGCCAGTTTCCTTACTGAATGAATTCCTGAAGTTGGAAGATGCTGATAAAAATAATACTGTCACTTTCTGTAAATTAAAGTGAGATTGAGCTCCTGTAACTAATAGGTTTATCAAATACCAATGCTTTCTCTTTTATTGCAGATGAAAAAGAGAGGTTTGACCCTACTCAGTTTCAGGACTGTATTATTCAAGGTCTAACTGAAACTGGCAGTGACTTGGAAGCAGTAGCAAAGTTTCTTGATGCTTCTGGAGCAAAACTTGACTATCGCCGCTATGCAGAGACACTCTTTGACATTCTGGTGGCTGGTGGAATGCTGGGTAAGTATCTAGCTAAACTTTTAAATATGGCTGCTTTGATAAAACACATCATTCTCTCATTTGGACTCAAATGACACTTGCACATATGCTTAAATGTAGGTTATTGATCTACTTTGTCACCCAAGTTTAAAAATGGATGCTATTTATTTGGATTGCCTCAAACTTTTGTGGTACATAGATTATGCTGTAACAGAGCATTAATTTCTGCTACATTGGATTGGGGTGGCTGCTTGCACTGCAGCACAAATGGCTCACTTTTTAAATCTTATATCCTTGAACACAGTGAGAATCACTAATTGTATTATAGGTTTCAGAGTAACAGCCGTGTTAGTCTATTCGCAAAAAGAAAAGGAGTACTTGTGGCACCTTAGAGACTAACCAATTTATTTGAGCATAAGCTTTCGTGAGCTACAGCTCACTTCATCAGATGCATCATGAAAGCTTATGCTCAAATAAATTGGTTAGTCTCTAAGGTGCCACAAGTACTCCTTTTCTAATTGTATTATAGTGTCTCGTCTTATGATGGTTACCTGCTCAGGGATGGAAGAGCTCTTGTGATGGGTTCGGTCACAGAGACCCCCTTGGGACTGTCACCTGATGTGCTGAAGTTACCTCTGAGCCCATTTTCCGCTGCCAGCTTGGGACTCCAGAACCCTGCCTTGTTCAGCCAGACACTAGCCTGCTGCAACACAGACCCAGGTCTGGTCCGTGCCCCCAAAGCAGCAGACTTTAACTAAAAACTGCTCAGCAAGTCCCCTATCTCAAGCACCCAGACACCCAGTTCTCAATGGGATCTAAACCCCAAATCCGTTTTTACTCTGTATAGAGCTTTATACATATAAACTCAAATTGTCCACCCTCTAACACTGATAGCAAGATATGCACAGCTGTTTGCTCCCCCAGAGGTTAACTTCACTTACTCTGGGTTTACTAATAAAACAAAAGTGATTTTATGAACTATAAAAAGTAGGATTTAAGTGGTTTCAAGTAATAGCAGACAGAACGAAGTAAGTTACCAAGCAAAATAAAACAAAACACGCAAGTCTAGGCCAAATACATTTAAGACATTGAATTGGTAAATCTCACCCTCAGATACATTCCAATAAGTGTCTTTCACAAACTAGACTCCTTAATCTGGACCCAATCCTTTCCCCAGTACAGTTCTTGTTAGTTCCAGCTCAGATGGTAACTAGGGGATTTCTCATGACTGCAGCCTCCTTTGTTCTGTTCCACCCGCTTTTTATGGCTTTGGCACAAGGCGTGAATCCTTTCTTTCTGGGTCCCCCACCCCTCCTTCTAAATGGGTTTAAGATGGATTCCAGTACCAGGTGACATGGTCACATGTCCTGTGAGACCCCAAGCCTCTTTCTTTCTGGCCTGACTTACATGAACACAGGAAGGCTTACAAGTGAACAGCCATTTACAACCAATTGCCCTGGTTAATGGGAGCCATCAAGATTCTAAACCACCATTAATGGCCCACACTTTGCATAGTTACAATAGGACTTCAGACTAATACTTCATATTTCTAGCTTCAGATACAAGAATGATACATTCATACAAGTAGGATGAACATACTCAGTAGATCATAAGCTTTGTAATGATCCCTTACAAAAGACGTTTTGCATAAAGCATATTCCAGTTACGTTATATTCACTTATAAACATATTTCCATAAAACATATGGAATGCAATGTCACAGCTCTCATAACTGATGGCTTTCTATTTTCAATTATTTTTTTCCATTGTTGCTTCCTCTCTTGGCCTTTATTGCTTACTACTTGCCACAGCACCAAAGCTTGGGGCTCTTGCTTCAGCTTTAAGCTGTCACTGTTCTGATAGGCTTCCAAACAGGACCTCAGCATCCAGTACTGGCAGACCAGCAGCAACACTTCTTCGTAATGCAATATCAAGTTTCATCTGCTAAATCATCTCCATTTAATTACGGATACTGCAGCAGCTATTATTCCCTCAACAGTAAACTGCGCTTCTCGCTTCAAGTGACTTAACAAGACTTCTGATATGCTGCATCTAGGTCGCCTGTTCTCGCTACTGTAGAAGCGATGTATGGCAGTGGGTTTGGGAAATATTTACAGCGGGATTTGAGAAGAATGTACAAAACAGCAGATAAACAATCTTTAATTCCATTGGGTTAGGGATGTTTCCTACTGTGAGGGGACACTGCCTTAAATGATTGACCTTGAACTCTTCAAAGCTTAAATGTTCTTCCATTCTAAAGTTTGTGCATAATTTGGCAAGCTTGTCGTCTTTTATAACCTTAAAAAAGGTGCATCTTCAACAGTGAGTGTAACTTTTTACAAAAAGTAGAACTTGGATCATGCAGCATGTGCTTACTCACTGTGATAAAGCTTTCAAAGGGTCAATTAACTTTAAATGGCCACTAACAATGGTATTGAAAATTTACTTGCATTTCTTTAGAACACTTGTGAAGAGCCTAAAGCACTGTACTAATACTAAACCACAGAACACTAGTGAGAGGGTTGTAAAGTTGCATATCGAGAAATTAAAGCAAATAGGCTGAGTGGCTTTCGTAAGGTCACATAGTACATTAGTGACTGAGTCAGTAGAACCAAAGGGTCCTGACTTATCCAACAAATTACTTCACTGTAGAAAGCACTACTTATAGTAGTATCCACCATGTGCTAAGCACTCTCCAGATAAGAATGAACTGTCCTTGCCTCAAGGAGCCCATAACCTATGGATAGACACCTACAGATGTTTACTGCTTGTCAAGTGGATTTGATGTTTGTGGAAGTGAATCTTCAAGAGACTTTAATATGAAGAATAGGCCTTTGAGCTAATTTACAAAGCCCCCAGACCATGCACAGAGGGCAATATGGAAGGAAAAGCTTGTTATGATAAGCTGACAAATGAGCATTTGTCAAGGTTCCCACTCTTAAAACTGGGAAGAGGGCAGAAGGAGATATGAGTTTGGATAAATTAGGAGGGAAAAAATTATATAGGACTTTAATTACAATGCATGATGCCTGAGTTTGATGGGGAACCAAGTGGAGTAAGATAATCAAAATGAAGGGCAAGGAAGAGGACTCTTGCTCCTGTATTTTGTATAGGTTGGAAGAGGGTAGTGTGTGCTCTATGGATTCCAGAGAGGAGGATGTTGCAGTATTTGAGACAGGAGAAGGCCCTGAATGAGAAGTTTAGTGATGGATATGAAAAGATGTATGAGTTTTGAAAACTCTGAGCGGGAAGAAGTAGCAGGATTTGTTTGAGTGGGCAGGGAGGTGTCAGAATAACTTCCACTCAGGCCTTCAACCTGATAGGGAGGTTGGCCGTTTTAACAGTGAGGTGTAGAGGTCTTGGGAGGGAAGATAAGCGTATCCTATCCATTCAAATAGGATGTGTTTCTGAAGTCTTGCTCTTATCAGATTACCACCTTTTGGGAAACCTCAATCCATAGTCTTCAGATATGGATGATGAAACGGGTATTGTAAAGCGTCTTGTAATTCTTTATTAAAAGAAATCAATTACTGTTTCCTTTGTAGCATCCGCAAACGTTAGAAAAACTTGTATTTCCACTGCTGGCTCTGCCGAAGAATAAGAGCTCTCTTCCCACATGAAGTGGTACCATTTTAAGTTCTTGGATGTTGTGTATTATAACAACTGACTTGACTATTGAATTCAATAATCTAATACCTGATTAGCACCTTCCATATCTGAACTCCAGTGATGGCTTCTTTGCTTTTTCATTCTTGAAATGTCACACATGACATCCCTAACACACTGCTGTGATGACCTGAGGGCTTGGCTACACTTACGTTTTATAGTGCTCTAACTTGCTGGCTCAGGGGTGTGGAAAAATCACCGAGTGCAGCAAGTCAGAGTGCTTTAAAGTGCTTGTGTAAACAGGCTCTTGCTTGGAGCTAATCCCCTTGTGGAGGTGGATTACGAGGAGTGCTGGGAGAGCATTATGGGATTACCATACTCACACTTCAAAGCACTGCTGTGGGAGCACTCCCCCGACAGCGCTTTGAAGTTTCCAGTGTAGCCATGCCCAAAATTTCTACTGTAGATCAGGCCTCTGTCTTAAAGCAACAGGACTTTGTGTTGCCTTTAACCAGAAGTCCTGCTGTATAATAAATGAATTAACAGACCAGTCTTGATGTTGCATCTTACAAAGACTCTGTTCTAAATCAAAACTGACTTTCACCCCACTTGACCTGTCCTTGTGTACTTTTGATTGGCCTCTAACAAATTTGGTGTGAAGATCTAGGGTGGGATGTCTCAAAATTGCTCTCAGTTGGCCTAACTCCCTGGAATCAGCAGGAAGACTCCCATTGACTATCTAGAAGCAGTTGTACTAATGCTTTTGAAAATCCAATCTTAAATGTTACAAATGACTCATGCATAGAAGTGATATTTTGCTGTGGGATGGAGCCATGGTTGTCTGTTTTTTGCTTTCTCCTTTGACTTTATTGAGGTTAAGCTTTAAAAGAACCTTCCAACACTAAACTGTGATGCTTTAATTTCTGAGACATTCAAAACTTCGTGTGTACATGCAACTCTACAACAGTTATGCTGTGCTTCCAGTGCTGGGTCACTCAATTTGACAGTTATTTTTAATTTTTTTTAATCATGTCTAAGTGACTTTAGATGCTATATTTAGGATTAAACAAATTTACTCTTGTAGCTGCAGTTGGAAGAAAAACTTTCGTGATCTGTTGGGTCATGGGTTTTTTGGACAAACTAATCAATGTATTATGGTTCTCATAATACCAAGTACGTTTAGTGTCTTAAGCTCTTCTGTTGTGCAGAATATCAAATGAGAGTTATCGGTCTATTTGGTACATCTTGACTTAAGTTTCAATGCAACAATAGATGACAAAGTAAAATTGTCTGCAGGCTTATATTTAGTTCAGTGGTGTAGTCACCACTGATCTTCAGTAAAGGACCGCTATAAGATTCAGCATTGTACAAGACTAAACTTACAGCAGTTCAAAGGGTCACATTTTACTGATTCTTTGCATACATAAGCAAAAGTGTAATTCTTGGTGATCAAAAAAAGTATTAAATTAAAACTGGTATTTCATATTTAAAGTATTAACACTAAAACTTCTTCTAGCCCCAGGTGGTACTCTGGCAGATGACCTGATGCGTACAGATGTCTGTGTATTTGCAGCACAAGAAGATCTAGAAACCATGCAAGCATTTGCTCAGGTGAGTCCTGAGTGTACACTCGAACTTGCCTGAATCTCACCTTTATGTACAATGGTTGATAACTAGCTGTCATGTTTAGCATTGCTGTGGAATAACTGTCTCCAAAAACTGGTCTTGGTGTTTAGATAAAAGTTTAGGTTTTTTATTTGAATTTGGAAGCCTCTCAGAAAATGGCCTTAGACATGCAGCATAAAAAAAACTGTTACTTTGTAGGGTGGCAAACTATCATTGGTACAAAAAGCCAGACTTGTTAATCTAACCAAATGTTCAACAAAGCCGTTTGAAACTCATTCCATTTGGACTCTAAACAAGGCAAAAAGTAATGTACTAATTCTGTCTTCTAGGTTTTTAACAAGCTAATCAGGCGTTACAAATACCTGGAAAAAGGCTTTGAAGATGAAGTCAAAAAGGTATTTAACAGGCTTCAGATTACAGCAAAAAACCCTGTGGCTAAGCTTCAAGATGACCCCACACTCTAAAAGGAAGAGTGCTGTGACTAAATCTTCACTTACTAGAATAAATTTCCTTATCTTAATGTGGCATTTGATTATATAAATGACAACTAATTTAGTGTGGGATTAAATTTGTCAGGGTAACATTCTACTCCTGGTGTGATCTTGTATTTCTGCCCATCATAAGCTATCATGATGGCCAGGAGCAAGCCTCTGTATCTTAACCTTTGGTTCAGGGAGGCACTGACTACACCAGCGATATTTAAGCTTTGTGGCTTCATTTTGGAAGGATTACCATTAGTCTTTCTATTGCAGCTGCTGCTGTTCCTAAAAGGTTTTTCAGAGTCTGAGCGGAACAAACTGGCCATGTTGACAGGTATCCTCTTGGCCAATGGGACACTTAATGCATCAATTCTCAACAGCCTCTACAATGAGAATTTGGTTAAAGAAGGTAACTACTAGTACTAAACAATTCCTTTGGGTGGTGAAGGGTACTGGGAGCAGGGACCAAGAGGCCTTAGTGTGACCGATTAAACCAAAGCTAAAATTTGACATAGATGTGAACTGTTGCAGCCGCACTCTCTCTGCTGCATTAGTGTCTCTTCTCCAGTGACACAATCTGTTGGCCTAACTAGTTTTGAAGCAAAATTTAATTGGCAGTCTTCTACCTCTCTTCCACCCCAGCATACACACACCTGTGTGAAGGTTTGTCACAGTTCAGGTAGCTGATTATATTATGGAATTGAAGACCCCACAGGATGGGGAGAACCATTAACATTGCAAGCAAGTTCCTCTTCCTTTCATACTGAACTATTAACAGTAACTTTCTAACTCCTGTTGTGCAGGTGTTTCTGCAGCTTTTGCAGTAAAGCTGTTCAAATCATGGATCAATGAGAAAGATATTAATGCAGTGGCTGCTAGCCTTCGTAAAGTCAACATGGACAACAGACTGATGGTTAGTAGTCGAATGACCTGAACGCTGTTATCTGTCCTTACTCTTGCAGTTACCTGTCCACTTGGCCTATCTGAATTACTAAAACTGGTATGCAGTGTTGTAGTTGTGCTGGTCCCAGGATATTAGAGACTAGGTGGATGAGGTAACCGTTTACTGGACAGACCTTTTGTAGGTGAGAGAGAAGCTTACACAGAGCTCTTCAGGTCACCTGAAGACCTTTGTGTAAGATTGAAAGCTTGTCTCTCACCAGCAGAAGTTGGTCTAATTAAAAGATATTACCTCACCCACTTTGTCTCTCTAAAGCAAACTTGGCAACCCTAGGACTTAAATGTGTCCCAATATGAAATGCAGGCACTAATAACTTCCTATGCATGGGAGTCAATGTAAATGTTGGAGTTTATTTATTTTATATATACATATATTTTTAGGAACTCTTTCCAGCCAACAAACAAAGCCTTGAACACTTTACAAAGTATTTCACTGATGCAGGACTAAAAGAACTTTCAGAATATGTTCGGAACCAACAAACCATAGGAGCTCGTAAAGAGCTGCAGAAAGAACTTCAAGAGCAGATGTCACGTGGAGATCCGTTTAAGGATGTAAGTATACATATATTTAAACCAGATACAAAAAAGTGAACTTCTCAAGTTTCTTGACATTTTTTTTGTAGTTTATTCCACAAAGAATAACTCACCATTACTTGGATCTTCGCTTCCTGGAATCTTAGAACCGAGATTCTTATTAATAGAGTGAAGGGAAAGGAGTCAATTTACAGAACTGTTTACTGGGCTGTATCTAGTACCTGAGTGAGAAACTTGGCGGCTGTTGGAAGACTAAACCTGTAATGCATCTGTATGTCTTACCCACCTATCTGTCCTCTTTAGAGGACAGAACTCATGGGTACTCTGAATTTGGAGTGGTGGCAGAAGGAGTATTCGTTAGATGAAGATGACTCTAGGTGTCACTACTTAAGCATTAAGCTGCTAAGTTGAAGTAGAAAGTCTTGGTGTTAGTGTCCTCACTCTTCCCACCAGCTCAAAAAACTGATCTTCTTGGTCTCAAACATTTACTGGTGACTTGCATTTAATCTTCTAAACTAATGGTGCAGTACCTGGTGTTTGCATTGTAAAATGTAAAACTTATCCCTGCTTCTTGACCTATGACTGAACTGCTAGCCTCTAAGGCAATTCAGACCTTTGAAAGGGACTGTGAAAGTGAAATCTAAATATTCTGATTATAAGCCACAAAGGAAGCTGTTTAATCAGTAGCTTTCACACTAACATTAACTCACTGACTTTGCAGATAATCTTGTATGTCAAGGAGGAGATGAAGAAAAATAACATCTCAGAACAGACTGTGATAGGCATAGTCTGGTCTAGTGTAATGAGCACTGTGGAATGGAACAAAAAAGAGGAGTTGGTAGCAGAACAAGCCATCAAGCACCTGAAGGTATTTGCTGTAGCTCTGAATAACTAAACTTACTATAAAGACAATTATGGTCTTATCCCATTTTTCCCCCTAACCGAATTATACCATAAAAGTCCTGGAGTGGAGTATAATGCACCCTCTTCCAAGTAGAACTGCATCCACATGAAGGGGGGAGATTGTACTATTGGTGTAGTTAAAGTAGTTCTACTTTCTGTAGTAGACAAAGCCTAACTCTATACATCATGTAGCAAAATGGACTCAATCTTGCTTGATGACTCCAGATGCTCTAGTAATACAAATGAGATGCTACTCAATGGAGGAAAAGATTGTTCCCACTGGTAACTAGTTAGTATTAAAACACTAGTGTGGATTTCAGACACCATTCTTAAATATGCAGCACTTGATTGTCAGACTCAAAAGGGTTACTGTCGTCCCGTAAATCTTGATAAAAGTCCATTTCACCTCAAACTGAAATGTTTCCATCAGTAGTAATCTACACTTACAGAGGAAGTTTGAGGTCTTAGTCTGATTTAAGATTTACTTTGTATGTTTTGATGTGATGTTGATAACTTGTGCCTTAATGGTTTATGACAAATTCAAAAATTAAAGCTTTAAGTAATTCTGATCCCCCATACTTGCCCACTACTGATTTTATATTGACAAACAGCTTAAAAATCAGTATTACCTGTTGAAATTATATTTAAAAAAATGGAATTCTGCCAAGCCAGTAGATGGATTGAACCTTACTTAATCAGAAATTTTTATGCATATAACCAGCAAGTTTCTTGTGTAAATTGCAACTTTTTTCAGAAAATTCAAAACTGTATAAATGGCAAAAATAGCAAATTTCTGTGTTTGCAGGGAATTAATTTTACAGTTAAACCTAGACAGTATCAAGGATGGAATGAATCCTTAAAATTAAGTAATGTTACTTGTAAAACTCATTCTCCTTTACATTGACTAAGGTAACCTTTTTTAATTTTTCATTTATATTTTTGCATTAAAGACCCTTTTCTCTAAGGGGGTGGGGGGAACCTAGTTTAAATCAGTTTGGAGGTATTTTGACAATGTCTGTACCCTCTGAAATAGTGATTTACTTTGTTTGTTGGCTGGAAATATATATCTAATCTCTTGTATTCTTTACAGCAATACAGCCCTCTGCTTGCTGCCTTTACTACCCAAGGTCAATCTGAACTGACACTCTTACTGAAGATTCAGGAGTACTGTTATGACAACATTCACTTCATGAAAGCCTTCCAGAAAATAGTGGTTCTCTTTTATAAAGGTAACTAAAGCTTTAAGGCTGCAGAATGTAACTGTTTGCAAAGACTTCCAGCTCTTAAGTCAGAGCTCTGAAAAGCTAATTTCTGACCTGTGGCAAATGAAATTGTCAAGATTCTCTGCAGTCAGTTAATTGGTAGCTGAAATTCTGGTGCTTGCATGCCCATCTGTACAAACCACTATCCTTAGCCATTTGAGGTAAATTGCTAAACCGCAGTGATGAGCAAGGGCCTCCATGCTAACTCATTAGAGATAGAGTTTTAATGTCAACTGCTAATCTTTGGCTGGAGTCTAGTAGCCCTGGTGCATTCTTGCCCTATCAGATCAGTCTAGCTTCTACACAGAACTTGCATTTTAAAGTTTTCCATCTATTAATAGCAAAAATATATATTGGCGTATGGGGAAAAGAAACATGAGCCAGTTTTCTGGCAAGAGCTGTACAGATTAGCCAGACAGAACCTCCTCTGGTTTCTGTACTGCTTAAAGCTTCACCACCTGTCTCTTTCCATAAGTTTGCTCACTCTGCATGGAGACAAAATGGTTTTCTACTTCATCTCTGCCATATGGCTGCATGATGGCACTCCAGGGACAGGGCTGTTACAGGCCTTTCTTAAGGAGCACATATGGACTACAAACTGTCTACTTTCTGGGAGTAGATATTAAACAGAAGTAGGATATGGTGTCAGTTCCTTCTGTGGGAACTTAACTATTTCCTGACTTTAAAGCAGTCTCCTCTGAGAATAGAACTTAAATGCAATTTTCACTAAATACAAATCTTGAAACTTGTCTCTAATATAGCCTCAAGTTGTTAGCATGACATACAAGAGAAACTGACTAGTCACATGACTGTCAAATACAGACTTCACTCCCCTCCTACTGCATCTCTTTCAGAAGAAATTGTCCTGTCACCTTTATTGTTAACAAATGGTGACTTTGGTATATGCCATAGACCTGCATGTCAAACTCTACAAATGGGTACTCAGTTTAAACAGTCTTGTTCCTAGTAGTGTGTGGAATGGGATGCCTTAAGGGAATGAGTATATGGGGGTGAGGGTGAAGGGTGACCATGTGCCATGGCTGCCAAGCAGGGGTGTGGCTGGGAGAACCTAGTAAGCTAGCCCTCAAAGCAGTATGTTGGCTCAGACTACTTCCACAGTAACCCTGCCTTGGTATGTCTTAAAACAGCTGAAGTTCTGAGTGAGGAACCCATCTTGAAATGGTATAAAGATGCACATCTTGCAAAAGGAAAGAGTGTTTTTCTGGAACAAATGAAAAAGTTTGTGGAATGGCTCAAGAATGCTGAAGAAGGTAATTAAATGATTACTGTGAAATGTTAGCTTGAAGTTAAACCACCAGAATGGGTTTTGTAAAGGAACACTAAAATCCCTGGTATAGCTAGCCCCAATCTCCAAGGTAGTCTGCACCAAGGTAAAGTCTCCCTGTGTAGCCACTTTCTGCCTCCTGCCAGCATAATTATGGCTCTATTGTGAGGAGAGCATCTCCTATGGACATAATGCTGTTCACACAAGTGCTTTTGTTGGTGAAACTGGGTTAGGGAGGGTTTTTTCTCCCCACACACCTGACAAAAGTGCTAGTGTAGACACAACCTGTGGGATAGAAGTTCCTTAATGATAGGCTCTTAACCAAGCAGTGTAGACAAAGAGGGAGTCTCTTACCAAGCTTTGTTCTTCTTCCTGTTTGCATTCCAACTTGGATTGGATGTAAGCAACAGAATCTGACCCTGAACCTAACTTCCACAACATGGTGGCTGTTTTGAAACTCTGCCATTTAAAAGTTCAGATGGCATAAATTAAATGGCCTAGTCTCATTAGCCTACTAAGGCAGCCACTGTTTACTGACTAGGCTGAAGACTTATCTGGTGAGTTAATTGTGGGCTCCTCTAGATGAATGTCAGGTCACTTTAATGCTATGTTCAAAACCTCCTTGCACTGCAATTTTACCAGAATCTTGCTGATTTGTGTCTAATCTTTAGACAGTCATTTTATGTATGACTCCCAGAAGCATTGACACTTACTGTAGTATCACATACCCTTTTGAAATGCAAAATAGTGTTTTAGGCTGAGCTGGCAGTATCCTATTAGGTTTGTTTTGAAAGAAATGTGGACTATGCAACAGGAGTTAAACAATGTTCAATCTCCTAATAATTAATTTCTTTCTTTTCAGAGTCTGAGTCAGAAACTGAAGAGGGTGACTAACTTGTGAAACTGTGTCCTCAGTAAAGCAAACAGGAGCTGTAGATAAATGTCATGTCTTGTGTGTCCTTTTTTTGGTTCTTACATCCTACCTCCCTGTATCAAGCATGATACAAGGGCTCTCATAGCAAATTTATTTTAACTGTTTTCTATAGTTATTGAAGATACTGGTTTTAGTTTTTAAAACCATGTTTTAAGTAGCTTACAGGAGCTATAGATTTGACTCTAACATTGCATTAGTCCTTTCAGTTATGTTTCTACCTCCTGTATTTTTTACTGTAATAATGTAACTAAGGCCTTCCACAACCACAAATCATTTTATCTTGGGTTTTCTATATAAACATTTACAAGTAGTCATAATTTGGTAAAGAGACTTGTTATGGAAATTGTTTGCAAATTAAACTGTACATGTGTCTCACCTCCAAAAGGCCATGGGGGACAGAAGTGATTTGGCATGAAACTTTAGAAATTGTACTAACTGCTATGGAAATAGCTTCTTTCTCTATGTAAGTCTCTTGATTTCACAAGCACTGGCTTATGCAGGTATGTTCTTCAAAGTAATACTCTAAATATGTAGTGGCTAGCCTTTTACATGGGGGGGCTGCCAAAAATGCCTAAGAACTTAAATTTGTTTCTGTACAACTTCTAGATCCCTAGTTTTGCCATTCAAGTGGAAGATAGCTCTCATACACCTGACCCTGGCTGGCAAGATTCTGTAGTCAAACTTTTTTTCTCCTGCCAAGCAAAGCAAGTAGGCATTCTAAGCCTACTAGCTGTCACATGCCTATTAAACTTGCCCTCAAGTTTTAATGCCATATACTCTTATTGGTTATGGATCACTAGAACTCATGCTATAAAACTGCATAATTAACATCTCCAATAGCAAAGGGAGAGACCAAAAAGTCAGTGTAGCTGCAGTTTTAATTTTTTACTAAAGGCAAACTACTGTTCAGTGGTACTCAGTCATAGTTTTAACTTGCATACTGCTCAGGGTCCCACTGCTAACTTCTGCTTCACCTCAAACCAAACCCTTTCCCCTCATCACTGAGTTTCTATAGTGTTAATCCTACCTTCTAAAGGCCATGCATTTAAGACATACTATGCACATGCATCTTGTGGCAATAGGCTTACTAATGCTACCTGTTCTCAAAAACCCAGCTATGCTAAACACTGAAATGTCTAGATTCTTAATGGTATCACTTTCTCAGGACATCCTTGTTGAATCAAGAATAGGGAGACCTTTGGAGCCATGTTGTCAGAACCTAATGAAAAGAATATTAATTCCCCTTGTGAGTGAAGTACTTGTTAGAGTGATCTTGGTAGAACTTTGGCACACATGTATTCAATAGGTTTCTACTGTAGTGATCTGCTTCCTTTGTAACTTGTCTAAGGATTTTTTTTAAATAAAGTCCATCCTTCAGTTTTGCCAAATCAAAGTTAACATGTGCTATATGGTATAAGCCTTCCGGAGTTTAACAAATTCAATACTCTTCCAAACCTGAATTGTCCACTCTTAATCTAGTTTGATCACTGTTTTTAGAAAATTTTCCACCTTTTCCCTCTGATACTAGAGGTACAGCTTCCTTGGCATAATGGTGAAACTAGCTTAAAATACAGCAAATGCCCTATCTAGCTCCTTACATAAGAAATGAGCAGGTGAGGTAGACTAGTTTATTAGCCCCACAGCTGTTGGTGACTCAAGTGTACCCTCACTTCTAAATCAGCTTTAGTAAGTGCTCATTACCTTATACCTATAGGCTTTGTTGTAAACATCTTTTCCCGCTTCAGCACAGGAAGTGCTAAACCAACCACCCTGTTGAACACAGTAATAAACTTTAATCATTAACAGTCTCGGAACCACTACTGCTGCATAGAAGCCATTTCAAGCAGCTTTATTGAAATAAACTTAAGTGTTCAAATAAGAAACATGGTCATGATACAAACAGGACATTTACAAAGTTAACTGTACAAAATAAATAAATCTTATGTTTTGTTGACTGACACAGTCTATAATCTGCTCTGGAGAACTACAAGTATAGGCTTTCCTGCTTTAGGGCAGAAAAGAAAGGATGGGTCAAGGCCTCATCAAGAGTAATTCTCTTGGCTGGGTCATACTCCAACATTTTTTGAATGAGGTCAAACAGATTCTCATGGTCCAAATCTTGACAAAGCATGAACTCCTAAAAAAGGGGAGGGGAAAAAAAGCAATGTTAGTTAGTGGAGGAAACTTAATTTTTTTCTTCTTCATGGAACAAAGTTATCAACTCTTACCTTAAGTGGTTTACAGCGTCTTGAAACATATCTACCTGCAGAACTATGTTCATCCCAGTCCAATTGGTTATGGTGGAAATACTTGCGCTTCCTGCAGATTAAAAATTGTTTGAGGCAATCACAAACCAATGTTCTAAAACAGTAATATGACCATAAACTCAACTAATCCTTTGGAAAGAGGCTAGAAGTGTGTATTGTTAATACTTTCACAATGCAGTTTTTAGAAGGTAACAACACTTAAAGAACAGATATGCTATCATACAGAAATGGATGTACCAGGCTAATCTAATCACATCTCTCACCCCTGACACATCAGAAGACAGAGCAGAAAGATGTGGACAAGTGAAGAAAACAGGGTATTTGTTTTGAACAGGTTTGACTCAGATCAATTATCCTTTGCAATGTATCTGTACATAACGGACATTTGACCTATTTCAGCCTGAGGTGAGGTAAACCTGGACCAGAAGACAGTTTAATTATGGAAATCAATTTAAAAATACTGTACTCAGAACTCAATTTGTTTGTCCCTGTCAGTAAATAAGAAAGGAGTAGTACCTAGCTCAAGCACCCCCATGTCAGGATGAAGATACCTGTGCTGAGGTTCCATTCCTGTCTTTTCTTTCCCCCCCCCCCCCCCGCCCCCTCCCGCCCCCCCGTTCTTGGTCCCGCCCAACTTCTCTCCCCCCGTTCCCCCCCCCCCGGAAGCGGCGCACTTTCCTTTCCGCCCCCCCCCCCCCGACCCCCCACCGGCGCGCCCCCACCCGCCCCCCCCCCCCGGTCGCCCCCCACGCAATTGGGCTGACCGGTTTCCGCCGCAGCGTCCAGCCACCCCGGCCCTCGCGAGCAGGCCTCCCCAGCCAAAGTGTAAAGTAGTGATGTCAAAACGAAAGCTTTGTTTGTCCTTTCTTCCCCCCCCCGCGGCCTCCAGTCCCGCGTCAAGGTGCCTAATCTAGCCAGTATCAATCGGCGCTAACCCGCTCCAATAAGGCATAACAGTCCCCGGACCCTCTGTAATCCGCCGAAAACCCTTGATTAAAGCCACCCCCTTGTTGTTTTCCCCCCAACCCGCCCCCCCCGGTCGGCAGCAAACCCCGTCCAGGCTCACGAAACCTTCCCCCTCCCCCCCCGGAGCCGCCCCTTCCGTCCCCCCCCCGCGCCCCGCCCCAGCCGCCCCACCCCGCCCGGCGCGCCCCCCCCCCGCCGCGCCGGACAAGGGCTGCCGGTTCTCCGCCGCGCCTAGGCGGCCCCCCCCCCCGCCAGGCGGCGGGGTGCAGCCCCCCCGCCAGGCCAAGGGGCCCCACCACTCGCCAAGCCCACCCCCGCCCCCCAGCCAAAGATGTAAAAGATAGTGGAGTCAAAACAAGAAATAGACCGTTTGTTTGCCTTGCCCCCCCGCCCTCCCAGTCCCGCAGTCCTCCGGGGTCGCAACGCCTATCAATCGCCGCTAACCTCCTTGTTCCAATAACAACATACTAGCCCTTCTTGAACCCCCCTCCCCTAAAACCTTTCCCCCCCTTTGTTGTTTTCCCCGAACCACCCAACCCCGCCCCCCCCCCCGCCTTTGCCCCCGCGCAACCAACCACCCCCCGCCCCCCCGGATCACCCTTTCGAAAGCGCCCGACAAGCCCGGGCAAGCGGTTCCGACCCCGGAAACAAGCCCGGGCGGTTGCGACCCCGCAAACTTTCGCGGGCCTTCGGACTTGGCGTTTCCCCGCCGAAGCCGAAACCAAGGGCGCCCCACAGGGAAGCGCGCCCGGCCCTACCCGTTGGGAACTTGGGGCCAGGGGGGCCAAAGCCCACCAATCAAAGTCCACGGGGGCGGGAAGGCGGTCGGGGTGCGCAAGGGTCCCAGGCAGGCCATCCCTACGCCCCCCACCAACGCCGGCACCAACCAGGGTGCGGGCCCTTCGGTCGGTCTGTTTCAAAGGTTATTCCCGCCGAATAGCCCCCACCGGCGGTCAAACGGGGCCCCCGTTATTAGGCCAGGGGGGGGGGGGGGGGTTGCACGCCGACAGAAGGCGGGCGAGAAATTTCCCAAAGTTCTGTTTGTTTCCCTTGTAACCCCCCCCTTGTTCTCTACTTCCCACCCCCCCCTCCTCCCTTTAATTGCAAAGTTCCTCCGCCACACAAGGGGGAGGGGGGGGGGGGGGAAGAAACCTTAAGATTTAAAGTTTAATTTAAAATTTATTGATGTTTTTTGCTCGGGGGGCGCCCCCCCCTTGGGGGGGCGGAGGGGGGGGGGGGGAGGGGCCCCCTGCCCAACCATACCTAGCTTTCCCCCCTCCCCCCTTTTTCCCCTTCCCCCTTCTCTTTTCTCTCCCCCCTCTCCCCTGGTTCCTCTTTTTGGGCGGGTTTTTTTTTCTAGTCCCGAAGGGTCGTGCGAAAAAGGGGGGAGAAAAAAAAGGGCTTTAAAAACTTTAAAACTCCTTTCTAAACGAAGTTAACTTACTACTCTTTTGCTCCCCCCCGGGTGAACTATTTTTACCCCGTAGTGTGCGGGTAAGGTCCTACCAGAAGCAGGCCCCCAAACTTTTGCAAAGCATGCATATCTTTCCTTTGTTTTAAACCATGTATAGTTTTAAAAGACCCACTTTTGTCCGGGCGTTGGGGGTCGGGGTTCCGTCAGGGTGGAAACTTTGCTAACTTTCCTGCTTCGTGACTATCTACAACCTCCCCTCTCTTTCTTGCCCCAAACCTATTCTGTATTGCCTCCTCTCCTTGAAGGAGTCAAACAACACTGTGGGGTAGTGGTGGCTAACCCCCTAAAATGGCTGCCTCT